GTGATACTTTATATTACACAATAATGCCTGATATATTTATATAATATATCAATAATATAAAATGCAATAGTTTAATATAATAATCTTATACTATTATATTTTATATTATTAATGAATGTTATCTATTTTTGTTCAATATAACGTATTTCTCTTATATAGATTTTTATGTTTTAGCAACCTGGAATTCTTTCATTGTTTTTCTTCTATGCCTTGTACATAATATATTCAGAACTCTGCAAAATAATAGAATAATAAATATATTAATAAAAATGAATTTAAAATATAATAAGTTTATAAAATAAAGAAAACCTTATCTTCGTTAATAATGTCTACTAATATTATTGTTTAGAAAGTGTCATGGTTATAAAACCTCATGATTTAGCTAGTATAACTAGGACTGTTCGTACACTTATGTTATGGTTTTTTCTATTTATTCTTAGTTCATACATTTTTGTTGTTATTATTTTTGTTGTTATTATTGTTATTATTGCTATTATTATTATTGTTATTATTATTAAATTTAAGTTACATGGAACAGAATTGAACCGTAAGCTTATCATCAGCTTAACTAGCTCGTATAGTTGCAGAAATACAGCCACGGAAAATGATGAACTGTAGTAACTATACAGTTTGCTAATCTAGTTTATATTTGAAATTGTGACATTGGTAACCTCTTCTGGCAGAGAGTTTCTTTTAAGATACTCTGAGAAGTTTTGAGAGAAGTTTTTTAAGAGAAGTTTTGCTGTTTAAAAGTTACATAAAATCCTTTTAAAGAATCGACAGTTCTTTAAAAAGCCACTGGTAGTCTGACAAGATTGATTTATTATATGGAGTGATAACATGTTATTTCTTTGGGAACTGAAGTACCCTAGCCAAAAAGTCCTATAGGACCTATAGGATTTTGGAACAAAATTTTGATAACTATAAACACTTTTTAACTAGTGTTTTGATTTAATGGGATTCAAATCTAATTATTTGTTCCAAATTCTTCTAGATGCCTATCGGACTTTTTGGTTAGGATATAGGTTCGGAAATGGATAATTCCCGTACAAAACACTTAACAATGTTTTGCTTGCGCACTCAAATTTTTTAGAGTTACTATTTGTAGTTCTATACAATTAATCTTTATCCAATTGAAATGCAGAGCCCAATTTTCTTTATATTTATTTTCATCTTTTCAGTTTGTTTCTTCACTGCTTTCAGAATTTCTTCATGGTCGTTAGCAAGCTGATACCGCCAGCGGTTAAGTTGCCAGCAAAGTTGCCAGCAGTCAATTGCCAGCAAAATGTAGACACCTTTTTGATAATAATATGAACATTTCTTACTAAAAGAACTGCTGTAGATAATAACATGAACCTTTTTTTACTAAAAGAACTGCTGTAGATAATAACATGAACCTTTTTTTACTAAAAGAACTGCTGCAGCTGTTAAATGGTGTGGCAAGAAAATAAGATTTGTCATTGTAAAACTCAGAAAACAACTCAAAGTCTGAGTTGTTTTCTGAGTTTTTGCCATCAGAGAGAGTTTTTGCTATCGGAGAGAGTTTTTGCCATCAGAGAGAGTTTTTGTCATCGGATAGAGTTTTTGCCATCGAGAGAGTTTTTGCCATCGAAGAGAGTTTTTGCTATCAGAGAGAGTTTTTGCCATCAGAGAGAGTTTTTGCCATCAGAGAGAGTTTTTGTCATCGAGAGAGTTTTTGCCATCGAAGAGAGTTTTTGCCATCGAAAGAGTTTTTGCCATCAGAGAGAGTTTTTGCCATCGAAGAGAGTTTTTGCCATCGAGAGAGTTTTTGCCATCGAAGAGAGTTTTTGCCATCGAGAGAGTTTTTGCCATCGAAGAGAGTTTTTGCTATCAGAGAGAGTTTTTGTCATCGGAGAGAGTTTTTGCCATCGAGAGAGTTTTTGCCATCGAAGAGAGTTTTTGCTATCAGAGAGAGTTTTTGCCATCGAAGAGAGTTTTTGCTATCAGAGAGAGTTTTTGTCATCGGAGAGAGTTTTTGCCATCGAGAGAGTTTTTGCCATCGAAGAGAGTTTTTGTCATCGGAGAGAGTTTTTGCCATCGAGAAAGTTTTTGCCATCGAAGAGAGTTTTTGCCATCAAAAAGATTTTTTGCCATCAGAGAGAGTTTTTGTCATCGGAGAGAGTTCTTGCCATCAGAGAGAGTTTTTTGCCATCAGAGAGAGTTTTTGTCATCGGAGAGAGTTTTTGTCATCAGAGAGAGTTTTTGTCATCGGAGAGAGTTTTTGTCATCGGAGAGAGTTTTTGTCATCAAAAAGATTTTTTGCCATCAGAGAGAGTTTTTGGCATCAAAAAGAGTTTTGCCATCAGTTAGAGTTTTTGCCATCAGAGAGAGTTTTTGCAATCAGAGAATGACATAGTGGAATTTTGAAATATAGTGAATTTTTTTTTATTTTTTATTTATTTAACCATTAAATGAAAAATTTACAATACTATATTTTAAATTCACATAAATAACGTTAGGTCACTCATATAGTTAAAAACTAGTAAATGGAGTGACACCTAAAAATAAATACAAAAAAAAACTATAAATGAAACATAGAAAGAATTTAAAATGAAATAAAGAAAAAAACAAAAAACAACAAACAAAGAAAACTAACATAGAAACGAGGAGAGAGAGGAAAATAAAAGTATGAAATAAAATAAAATAAAGCACTAAGCAATAAAGATTATATTATTATTTGCAATAAAAATATAATAAAAATATGAATAAACATTACTCATAGTAACTATAATATGATAACTATAATAAAAATTATAACTATTGATAAAAACTATGGTAAAAATAATGATAGTAAAGTCTATAACTATGACAGAAACTATATAGATAAACGCAAAATTTGCAAAAATTATCACCATAAAACTATTACAACAACGGAGTCACTATCACTATTATTATAAACGATACTAGTAAGGCTTTTAAAACAAAGATAAATGAATGATAATAGTAATGATAGAGTTAAAATAAAAGACAGTATAAAATAAAAGTAATAATAGTTAAATAAATACAATAATATAAAAAAAAAACAATAATAATAAAAGATAAAATTGATTTTCCTTAGATATATATTCAAATAAAGTTTTCTTAATTTGGATACGATTGAGAAGTAGAATGTTAGCAATAAATGTTGGTAATAAATGTTTCGAATAAAATATTTATATTTGTCACGTGTTTTAATTTAAAAAAATGTTAAACGGATTTGGTAGTTTATTTTGAAGAAAATCAAACACAAAGAGACAATTGTTCTTTACTTTTAATAGAAAACTACCTTTTTGACCCCAAAAAGTGCAACAATAACTTAGATGTGAGGAATAGTAAATTGATATTAGAAAATGTTGGGGAACATAATGTCGTGTTAATGACGACATACTATTGGAATGTGAGAGTTTTTTTTTAATTATTTGAATCTGTTAAAAGTATCATTTTTGTCAAGAAATATCCCGAGGTATTTTATATATTTAGATGGGAAAAGTCTTTTACCGCTAATTCTTATTTTCATATTATTATTGTCAATCTATTTTTTTTGGAGGGTGAAAAATAATAGATTAAGTTTTATTGATATTTAGAGAACTACGGTTACTATTTAACCAATGACACAAATGATGGAGATCTGAATTAACTTTTTTACAAAGCTGCGCCAGTGATTAATTTATGTATAAAAGACTTGTGTCGTCAGCAAAATGATGAACAATCGAATTATTTTTAAAGTGAGGCATATTGTTAATATATATTAAAAACAGTTAAGGCCCTAGAACAGAACACTATGGGACACTTAATAACTTTTCTTGTGGATTGAAACCCATTAATAGAGACAAACTGAGTACGATTTTTAATATAGGATGAAAACTAATCATTAGCGATACCTTGTATAATACAGAAATAAAATTTTTTTATAACTCCTATATTGTTTACAGGGGTGTACTGACACTCTTCCTACTAAAGACTTCAACTTTTTGACAGGGATCTAATCAAAAAATTCTTCCGCAATCATTCTAAATTTGCTTTTGCAACACCTCTCAGTTTTTACAATAGCATATACAACAAGCAAATATTGGTAGCGAGAGTGCTGAATGTTCCACAGTTTATCAAACGCACCAAGTTACTATGAATGAGAGTTGGAAGAAAAACGAAAGAATACGGATTTGCAGGTCTATTGGACGTTTCGTCCATGAGAATTCAATACCGTTCAATGTAGCAACAAGCCCTTCATATAGGGCCATGATGAAGGATGTATGTGAATTTGGAAGGGGATTTGAACTCCCAACTATGTATGAGTTGCAAACATGGATTCTAAAAGAAGAGAAAAATGCTATTTCTCCCATTGTCAATGAAGCGAAACCTTCATAGATTGAGACCGGTTGTAGTATTATGTTTGACGGTTGGACTTACACAAATGGGCGTATATTGATAAATTTTTTAGTCTATTGATGCATCGGATCAAGTAAAAGATGCAAAGTTGCTTTTTAAATTACTTGATAAAGTCGTTGAGGAAGTTGGAGAAAAGAATATTATCCAAGTGATAACAGATAATGCCTCGGCTTATAAAGCAGCGGGGCGAATGTTGATGGAGAAAAGGAAAAACTTGTATTAGACGCCTTGTGCTGCACACTGCATTGACTTAATGTTAGAGGACATTTTCAAGCTACCCCTTCATACTTCTGTGTTCACCAAAGCCAACAAAATAATAAATTTTATATACGGTCATGTATGGGTGTTAGCAATGGCAAGAAAATTTACCAGCGGAGATATGGTAAACCCTGCTGTTACTCAATTTGCCACCGCATTTCTTACTTTGCAAAGCTTCTTTGGAGCAAGGGATGGACTTGAATCCTTTTTTACTTCAAGTAAGTGGAAAACCAGTGCTTATGCATCTCGATCATTGGGGGAAAATGTGCGCAAACATAATTCTAAAAAGCAAGCCTTTTTGGCCTGGTGTTGCTTATGTGCTCAACACAGCAAAGTCCTTAGTTACAGTTCTTTGAATGGTGGATTCCGAGAAGTATCCACCAATGGGATTTATTTACGAAGCTATGGATAGGGCTAAAGAAAAAATTGCTCAAAATCTAAATCATGATGTTATAAAGTATCAGATTGTTTGGGATATTGTGGATAGTCGGTGGGATCGTCTACTTCACACACATTTGCACGCTGCTGCATATTTTCTAAATCCTCATTTCCAATATGAACCTTCATTCTCTTCTCATCATGAGATTAAATTGGGACTTTATTCTTGCATGGAGCGATTAATTGGCGGTTCAGAAGAAAGAGAGAAAGTGGATTTGCCGATCGATTCTTTTCGAAATGCACAAGGTTTATTTGGACGGGTAAATGCAGTAAGCACGAGGAAGAAGAGAAGTCCAGGTGTGTGTTTTTACTATTTTTAGTATGTTCGTAATAATATCTTTTATTTTATTTTTTTGATAAACCAGAGGACGGACCCGATATGGGATCACACCTCAACGATTTTTTTTGCTTTTAATTTAATAAAATAACATTACAATTTTCAGCGGATTGGTGGAGAGCTTTTGGAGATCAAACGCCTAAACTTGCAAAATTTGCAATTAGAACCTTGAGCTTGACTTCTAGTGCTTCTGGATGTGAACGGGATTGGAGCTCCTTTAATCAAGTAATAGTATAAAGTATTTTGATTTTATATGTTTTTCGATTTTCATCTTACTGAGCTTTAGTATTTTAATGAACAGGTGCATACAAAGAGAAGAAATCGCTTGAAGCAAGCGAAACTCAATGATTTGGTTTACATTATGTTCAATTTAAAACTAAAACTCAGCGAGTTAAAGAAGAAAACAATTAAAGATTCCCTTTGTTTGGATGATGTAGACTCTGGCGATGAATGAATCTCAGAACTCCAAGATCCTGAGGTAGAGGCCTATGAAGATTTTGATGCAAATGATGACCCTTTTGAAGTCAAAGAAGGTGAAGTATCTCAACATACAAAGAAGAGAAAGAAGAAAAACAAAAGGTGTAAGATATTGCTTGATATTATATTTGAATAATTGTTTTTATTTTTTTGGTTCTACTTGAACTCAATCATATATATTTCCTTTAGGTATAGAAATCCAAATGATGACGATAAGGAGAGTTTTCCACATGCCAGGAAGAAAAGCGAAGAAGAAGAGGTTGAATTGAATTTCATGGACGATTCTCTCGAGGATCCTAATTGTAGCACTAGTTATTGTGACAATAACGATGATTAATGGGTTAAGACTTATGAGATTAGGTCATATTTATTTCGAATCTGTAAAAGTTGGACCTTCTAAATATTTTTTTGGAACTTCTAATGAAAGAATGATTTTACTTCAATGTTATTTTCATTGTTATTAATCTTTTCTTTAAAAAAAAAAAAAAGCGTTTTTGTTAGTGTTGTAATCGACTAAAAGTTGACTGATCAAAAGTCGAAAATAGTCAACTTTAAAAAATCTAATAGTCAATTTAATGGACTTTGGATTTTCTACTAATCAACTAAAGATCAATTTAGTCGGGTAATGCATATAATTAATAATATCATTTTATTTAATTAACTCTCTAATTTTAGTGGTTAATTTAATAAAAATAATATATTAGGTATGTACTGCCTAGTTTTTTTATTGCCAGATTAAGATATTGTTCCCCATTCCCCTTAAGCAATGAGTTTATGTTTACTCTCTTGAAGTTTTATTAGGGGTTTGACTATCTCAGTAATTTAAAAAAGAAGTTGCTTGTTACCGGTTTCTGTGATATCTTGAGAGTAACTTACGGTAACTTTATATAACTTTAAGCAAATTGTGATTTACAGAAAGTAATTTCATTCATGCCTTTTGATGACTATGTCTGGTAACTAGAAATAATTTCCTCATAAGCTAACGGTTAGTAATATTAACGGTTTTTAACTTTCTGATTCTAAGATAACATCTAAAAAAATAAACTGTCAAATAATTAGGCGTAAAAAGAGGAGGTGGAGGACGGGGATCAACTACTGGGGCCCGTGTTTGTACAAATAATAATGTTTTCATCTTAAATACTTTTTCTATCCTTTTTTTATAAAAATTACTACTTCAACATTTTCTTTTTTCAATATCTTACCTCATGTGAAGCTGTAAGATTTAATTGTAAGGATCCACCTCTAATGGTCCTGAATATATGATAGCCATATATTCAGTATCCACCATGAGTAAGCCCATCCGCTTTCTTCAGTGCCCAAAATCTCTCTCGGCAGACCAGCTGCATACCTCTTAACATTATGTTATGAGATATGCAGCAGGTCTGTCGAGAGAAATTTTGGGCCCCGAAGAAAGCGGATAGGCTTCAGTGAATAGGAGAAAACGTTTTAACTTAATAAATATTTTCGGTAATGTGTTTGCTTTTTTTTTGTTTGTTTTGTCTTTGCATTTAATTTTCAAAAATATATGCATACAGGGCCGTTTGTACAGCCGTACAACATGCATACGGGGCCATTTCGAGTTGAATAGGGTTCTGCGATAATTAAAGTGTAAACTTGATTGTATTACAATGGGTAATTTTTAGGAAAAAATCCCATATATTTACAGCCCCAGTCCTAAAATTGTGGTACCCGGCCCTGAATTACTTGATTAATCTTTAAAAAATTTAAATTGCAATCATTTCAAATATTTTATTCTCATTATTTGACTAAATCAACTTTTATTCGACTTAGTCGGTTTCAAATATGTGTTGGTCGACTTTGATCGACTTTAGAAAGTATATTAGTCGATTTAGCCTCAATACGCCTTACGCCTTTTTCAACCTTGGGTGTAACATTCAACTGAACTTTAGGTCGAAAAGATTAACAAAGATTGTGTTAGTCGACTTTGATCGACTTAAGAAAATATATTAGTTGATTTAGTCGACAGTTGAACTTTTCAATAGTTGTAACAACACTAGTCGTAACACTTATATTTATTAATAAATATAATATATATTATGTATATGAATATATATATATATATATATATATATATATATATATATATATATATATATATATATATATATATTATATATATATATATATATATATATATATATACATATACATATATGTATATATGTATATACATATATGTATATACATATATACATATATTAGTTAAAGTGTTTTTTTTATATTAAAGCTATTGCATTGCAAACGTCTTTCTTGACTTTGCAGCGTATGCTCGCTTTATCAAAATCGTTTTTCATTATTATTATGTTGCAATGTTATTTAATTCTGAGAATATTTAAATATGTCTTTAGTAGCAAACAGTATTAAAGAGATTATATCAATCAAAATTAAATCAAGAAATGATAGTGTTACTGACCAATACCAACGAATTTTTATGACTAAAATTTGCATTGTATTTGCGGCGCTTGTTGGTGTAAATTACTTTAATGATAAGGTTTCTTGCATTATAGCAAATACAAATGGAATGAGCGATAGTTTTGTAGGTGCAACATGCTGGATTCAAGGTAAAATAGTTTTTTGAGTATTGTTGAAGGGATAGAAGATGCTTTTTGTTAAAACTAACTTTGTATTTAGGATTTTATGTTTTCGAAGAAATGATTACTAGATTTGAAGATTGTGGTTACTATGGAATACCAAAAAATATGGAGCACGACGGTATTAATAGTCTTGGTCATTTATGTGCAGTTAATGATCGTGCTTTAGGAAAGATTTTTGGTTGTCATCCAATGAAAAAAAAGTATTATGACCAATACCAATATATGCCGTTTTTTATAGCTTCCTTAGCAATATTGTTTTATCTTCCTTATGCAATATTTAAAATCACAAATAGTGACTTGATGAGCCTTAAAGATACATTAAACAACAAGGAAGTAAAAGCTGAAGATATCGTATCCGCCTACTTTAACGTGAAAACTAATAGCATAAGAAAAATGAAATTGCGAGTAGTAATGACTGTTTGTATCAAATTTTTATATTTATTCGCAAATGTTGTTGCTTTTATTCTTTGCGATGTATTACTCAACGGTGATTTTCGTAAATATGGCTTAAACTATGTTCGTTGGATGCGGTCGCATAGTTTTATAGGATTAACTAGCTACGGTTTAAAAGCACAAATAGAGCCAAAACCAGGTTATGTCCTACTCCCTGCTATGGGATTTTGTGAAATTCACGAGGCATCACGTGATAATAGAAATTCTTATATTAACAGTCATCGTTTTATCTGCGAAATTTCTCCGCATCTATTGTATCAATACGTTATGCTAGTGTTTTGGTTTTTACTTGTTTTTGGAATAGGTATTTCTATTGCTGGAGTAATTGTAGCTATGTTTGGATACTTGATCAATTTTATTTGTCTTTTGAGCAAAGACAGCCCTGCAAAAAAAATATATCGTATCGTGACATTCAGAGAAATAGATTATCTTGAGTGCATTCGAAGAAAAAATTTGCCTTTGTATAGTGATGTCCTCTACAGTTTAAAAGAAAAGCGCGTCAAAAAGACTAAATATTCAGAAAGAAAATTCGAACATTTTGCTTTTGTTAAATCAGACCGCGAATAATATAGGAAAATAATAAGTGAAATCAAAATGCTTCACCTCTTATTTAAATTTCATATTTAAGCTAAATAAAATTTTTGTAATTTATTTTTTAGAATATAATAAAAAGATAACTTAATATTAAGAACTTAAATTGTATTTTCGCCATCTATTTTTGGGTCTATTTTTTGTTATTCGCAACACTTATCAACAAAAAATTTGGATTTTTGAAAGTTTCATAAGTATACATTAGGTCGCTTAATCTCATCAAGATATTGACGCTGATTATTTCAGATATGATTAATTTTAGTTTTAAACTTTCAAAAAAAATTTAAAATTATTGTTTTCAAAGTTATTAGAACACATTATGTATAAAAGATTAAATTACTTATTATATGCAAGCAATAATAAGCAAATTGGGTTTTTAAAAAAATGAACTCTACTGATCAAATAAGTGTTCATCTTGTTCATGATATCTTTTAAATTATTTGATGAAAATTAATATACATTAGTTGTATTTATTGATCTCAGCAAGGCTTTTGACACCGTCGATCATTAAATTTTGTTAACAAAATTAGAAAACTACGGTATAAAACATAAATATTGCGTGGTTTAAAAGTTATATATCAAATACAAAGCAACACATTTCTTGTAATGAAGGTAAAACGACCAATATGAACATATTATGTGGGGTTCCTCGGGGATCTATATTGAGGCCACTTCTATTTCTCATTTATATTAATGGTTTAAAAAAAAGCTTGAATTAGATACAATTTTATTTGCCGAAAACACAAATCTTTTTTATGCACATAATAATATAAATATTCTGTCAGTAAACAAAGAGCTATTAAATCTTATTGAAAGGTTTAACGCAAACAAACTTAATCATTAAATGTGACCAAAACGAAATAAACTCTTTTCCGTCATTTTCATGATCGAGATAAATTTCTATTAAAATTTTTAAAACTTTGTTTTGAAAAGCAAGACGTAAAAAGAGAAGTCTCATTGAAATTTCTCGGCATACTTCATGACGAAAATGTTACATGAAAGATTTTTTTTTTTCTGTTATTATTTTTAGGTGCCCCAAGAAGACCTAACGGTTTTGTCACAGAGTACCGCGGAAGTGCATTTAACCAGGAGGTTCACGCCTCCTTTCTTACCGTGACGCGGCAATATGTCCAGACCTCGTTTCAAACCTAGATCTCCTGTTTATAAAGCCGGCGCTCTAACCACTGTGCCACGGCCGCACGTAGAGCTGTGAACATAAAAATAGCATTAGGGGATAGTGAGGCACAATGATACACCTTTGGTTTTGGTTTTGTAAAAAAAAATTTAATACGCTTTTTTTTTTTTTAAGCGATTGGTTTAATTTTTTGAATAAATGTATACCTATGAAATAAAATCTATAAATTACCAAAGTATAACAATGAGACTAGTTAAAGTGAAACTAGAAAATTTTTTTAAGGTACTCCACCCATGGGGTACCTCGATACACACTACGAGCATCATGAAAAAAGTAAATAAAAATTATAAAACATTGAGAAAAAGCAGATATTTATTTGAAATACAAACAAATCAATATTTTTAACCCAAATAATGCATCCAATGATCCAAATCACATTTTAGAAGACCAGATAATATATTGTTTTAAGTAGGGGAAGTTGGGGCACAGTGAAACGGATTTCTTTATTTTTTAAACTGAGCAAAAGTTAAAATATGTATTTTATATTTTTCAACGCAAAATGATTGAGATTTATGTCCTTCATGATAAGAAATCGCTGAAACCAAAATATTTATTATCTAATGGTTCACAAAAAGGTTTAAAATGAGTTGTGTTACGTGGCACAGTGAATAAATGAACACAGCCGTGAATTAATGATAGTGAATAGAGGCATAGCCAAATAACTTTGAGGCTGAGGGAGTAAAGACACTGTACACTATACTTTTCGGCATACTTTTATTAATTAGATTAGTTTAAAATCGAAATAATAGACATTTTGAAAATTGAGAATAAAAAAAAAAATTATTGACAACAAAACTTATAAAAAATTAAAAACTTATTCAAATATTGTTATTTATAATTGAAACTAATAAATTCATTTTCATGTAGTTTGTTTGTTAAAAATACACGAACTTAATCTTTAAGATCATTAATGGGCTAGTGAATCAACCTATTCACTCTACCCCGATTCACTGTGCCCCACAATAACAAATTAACTTTATGTCTAATTTTTTGGTACATAAGTGTTGTTAAAGGAAAAGCTAAACTACTAAAAGGAAGCATAAATATCAATAATCCGAATGAAAAACTTCAACTTTAAAAATTATTTTAACAATGATCTTTATAACAAACATAAGAAAGGTAAGAAAATTTACGTTAGTTAGCTAAAAACAAAAATAGCCTACCAAAAACCGGTAGTCAAAAGTTATGTGGTAAAAAATATGAATAAAGATTGCTGGTATATGAACACATAAAACGATTTCATATCAAGATGAACAAAGTTTTAATCTTGGAGAAAATGCCTTTTAAATGCCTCTTAAGTATTAATAAATAATGGCTTTGTATCGAAATGGGATCTCTTTGTATTATATTTACATAAATCTTTTAAAAATTGACTAAAACTCTTGAAAGAAATGATTTTTAGAATCGTTATGACACAATGGAGTACTATTATACAGTTTTAAGGCCCCCCGCAAATGCTGTATCAGGTTACCCTTACTTGCTAATAGAAAACAATTGCTTTATTCTAAGTATCAACTTTTTTTTCAATGATTTCGTTTAATAAAGTAAAAAGTTTATGGATTGTAGTTTACAAAATAATGTTTCTTACCGATATACACATTGAATACCTTAAAACTTAAAAGGTACCTTAAAACGTATGAGCTTTAAAAACTAATAAATTACTTTGTCATCAAAAGAAACACAAACTTCGACCTCTCGCAGCCCTAATGATGTCAAATGATATTTTTTTTCAAAACATAGCTATAGTAGTAACTGCTTCACTATATGAAAGTGGTTGTCACAACTCTTAAAATGCTTCCATAATTAAAATATTTCATGGTGCCCCTAGTGTTATGGTGCCCCACTCTCCCCTACTAAAAACTTATACGTATTTTCATTATTAATCTCCTTCTGTATAATATAGAAATACTAATTTTTAATGTTTGTATATACAAGAAACGGATAATTAAATTGAGCATATAAGTAATTAAGGGAATGCATTAAAATAGCAAATTTTTTTCTCATTAATAGTTTTCATTAAATATTTTCTCGTTTATAATTCAATCTTTTTGATTGAATTATAAACGAGAAAAGTTACTTTTTTTATTTATTTTTTTTATTCTACTATTTTCTATACAGTTTTGTAAAAGGTTAGAACTTTTCATAAAGTTTTTTTTTCTTCTGTATCATTTTTTAATGCTTATTTATACATATTTATACGATTATTTTTCTAAATAATACAAAAGATTTTATTTTAAACTAACTGATTCCAAACTTTGTTAACCCGTGAATAAGAAATATTTGTTATCTACGGGTTAAGGTTTTTAGAATCAGTAGGTTTTTTAATCGTTGAAAAAGATTTTTTGTATTGTTTCTCTGGATTGTATTTATAAACAGAAATACGATACAAGCAACGCAAATATAGAACTTAAGCATGAAGAAAATCTTTTCAGTACAGCTTTTGTGCCTTTATTGCTCAAAGTAGAAGATGGCGAAATTTAGAAAAATGAAAATCCTTCAAGCTGTCACTTTTGTAGACCTCTTCATCTACAATATAAAAAAGAGAGTCCAATTTTATCCAGAGAAGAAGAATCAGATCTAAAAAATCAACTAAATACCTTAAAGACGTTTTGCAAAGTTTTTAATATTGCAGGAAGAATTTTAACATTTAATATCAGCTATAGGATTGATTTTACAATGTTTGATAATAAAGTAGTTAGCGCATTTACAGAGACAAAATCCAGTCAATCCTGCAATGTGTGCAATGCTAAACCCAAGGAAATGAACAATATTGATTTATTAAAAGCAAAAATTGAGAATGACTCGGCCTTGGGGCTCGGAATTTCAGCTTTGCATTGCTGGATAAAATGCTTGGAGTTCATTTTTCATTTGAGTTATAAAATTGAAATTAAAAAGTATAAGCCAAAAATAATTGAGGAAAAACTATCTGTAGACTTAAAAAAAAGAGAGATTCTGGTACTCTTCAAAGAACGGTTAAGCCTATACGTTGATATGCCTAAAACTGGGTCTGGAAACACGAATGACGTCAACACTGCCAGAAGAGCATTTAAAAATAGTGAAGTTTTTTCTGAAATTACTAAAGTTGATTGTGATATAATTAAAAGATTGCATAATATTCTCATAACCATATCTTGTGGATATCCTATTAATATCAATGTATTAGATTTATACTGCACTGAAACAACTAAACGTATAGTGAGTTTATACAACTGGTATGTTATGCCTTCTACTGTACATAAACTGCTACTGCATAGTTCTTCTATATCAAATAAATTACCTTTGTTAATCGGGTTATATTCGGAAGATGCACAAGAGAGTTTAAATAAACAGATAAGAAATTCTAGACTTAAGCACACGGCAAAAATATCGAGGTTAAACACAATGATGAATCAGATGCTCTACCTTCTAGTAAGATCAGATCCAAAAATATCAAGCATATCTTTTAGAAAACATAAGAGCTATCGAGGAAAACCGTTACCAGATGAAGTTTTTAAATTAATTGTAATGTAAATAATAAATTTAATGTAAAAAAATACAGTATTTTTTCTCTATGCATCAACATCCTTTAAAAACCATTTTTATAAAAACATCAAGTAGATTAATATATCAAAATTATGTGTTTGTCTTGAAGATTCTATAAAACTATAAAAAAAAAAATTTGTACGCGTATTACCTTTAACACGCGTAAGAAAGCTGCGCTTTAAAAAAAAAAATTATTAACAAATTTGAAATCTTTGACTTAAAAATTTTTATTTTAATACATAACATTATTTATTTACGATTTATGTCAATTTTTATTTAATTTTTGCCGTTTTTTGATTCTCTTGAGTCACTGTGCACCATGACAATCAAATAAAACAATGTGATTTTCAACAATCGTGATTTTCAATTAAAACATTTAACGCATGCGCAATTTCAACATTCTTTATTATTAAAAAAAAGGTTTTATTTATATATTTATTTATTTAAATTTATTTTTTATCAATATTATATTAATTTATTTTTAATATAATGGAATTTATTTTAATATTAAATGGATGCCATATTTGTTTTAAATGGATGAAAAACCCTGTAAGGCGTACACACATGTATACATATTTATTAAGCTTAAATTATTCCATGCCGCTTAGGTACACATTTTTATATGGCCTCATCTTAATGATAAAACAACCATAACGTTCATTTTAAAACATCCATGATAATCAACATATTATTATATAGTATTTATTTTGTCTAAGTCATTTGGATAAGGCGTTCTCTTCATACTTGAAATGCCGTGGATAGAATCTCTGTTTGGACAATTTTACTTCTTTTTCATTAATATTTCGTTGCTCGTATAATTGCTGTGACGCAATTCCCCTATTCTTTTTTTACAGAATACATATCTCTCAACATCAAACCTCTCAGTGTATTTTCTGAGTAAGGCGTATACCGGGTTTTGCATCCTAATATTTTAATCCTAATATTTGCATCCTAATAATTTAAATGTGTCATCCGTTTAAAATTAAAATAAATTTAATTGAATTAAAATAAATTGATATGATGTTATTAAAAATTAATTTAAATAAATATATAAATAAAACCTTTTTATTTTAATAATATAGAATGTTGAGATATGTGCATGCGTTAAATGTTTTAATTGAAAATGACGATTGTTTTAATTGAAAATCACATTATTTTAATTGATTGTCACGGTGTTTTAAATGAATGCCATGGTTTTTTTTTAAATGGTTGTCATAATTGTTTTAAATAGATGTAAAAACCGGTAAAAAAAAAAACTCAATCAAGGTTGTTAATAATTAACAAAAATTTATAATAGATTGTTTTTTTAGCATTTTATAAGAGAATTCAGGAATTAAATAAGTTATAAGGAAATTATAAGGAAAGTGATTTGAAGAAGTATTGCAAATTACGCAATGACAGGTATTAGCAATTCTGCAAGAGAGTTTTCAGAATTAAAAAAATAACGGTATAGAGTTTAATCTTTTTTTTTTAATGCTTATACTAAAATCAACCGTTAATTGTGTATTTTAATGACTTTTATCAAGTGCGTCATAATTACGATCATATTGCAGTTATGAAAGTATTTTTTGTTATTTCACTCGCAGCCTGCGTCATTGGCACTGAAATCTTAAAATAAGAATAAAATACAGACGCGTCCGCTCATACAGTTTTCTCGAGGTATGAATTAAAATCTGATAGAAAAATTTATAGATTAGGGGAGAGTCGGGTAGCCCCGGACACTTCAGGAAAATATAGATTGTACACATCTGCTAACGGAAAACAAAGTGTCAAAAGACTTTTTTTAAAAGTTCAAACTTTCATCTATCGAATTAGAAACAAAAAAATAATTATTGTGTGTCTTAATAATGTAGAAAACATAAAAGAAAAAATGTTAGAAAAACGGCATGTTTCAAAATTGGAGGGTAGCCCCGGACACATAGTTTAAATATGATTTTACCTCTTTTTTACCAGTGTGACACAAATGTTATATATAATAATTTAGCAATGGACTGTTTTCGACCCCTTTTTTAAAAAAAATTGCCTTTAAAAATTGCTTCTGATATATAAGGAATGAGAATGAAAATGACATCATTTAAAAATACAAACATAAGCTTTTTTATAATGAAAATAAACACTTTAAAAACACTTTTTTCAAATCTAATGTTATTTTATTGGAATTAAATGAATTATTATTATAGGATTGTGTATTATATTAAATGTATTAATAATTATATAAAAAAAGTTGTTTATTATTAATATGTAAACGAATTAAGTTGTCCAGAGCCACCCTCCAAACATGTCCGATACCACCCGATCATACCTCATTCAAAATACAAGTTTTAAAACCAGTGAATTGAAGTTTTTAACGATTTTTTTTTTTAATAACTATTGTAAATAAAAATGCATTTTTAATCATTAAAAATTTATTAGTTTACATAAAAATTATTAGTATGTGATTATTAATATGTGAATCAAATATGATGATACGCCGCTCTTCTGGTGGTGGGAAACAAAATCTTGCCCTCCCAGTCATTCGCATCGGCATATTATGATAGATATTTTGCATATGCCATATTTTTACTCAAATAATGTTATTATAGTATTAAAAGTCACATAGCTTCCTTAATTTAAGCTGTACATCAATTGTCCGGAGTTACTCGCCGTCCGGGGCTACCCAACTTTCCTTAATTAGTTGTTATTGAAAAGTTTTTTTCACGCATTGATATTTTTTCTGAAAATCTTAAAGCGCGTTTTTCAGAATATGAACTAACAACTCGGTATTGATTAAAATTCTCGGTATCGATTAAAAACTTATGAATAAAAAATTACTATATTATTATATTACTATTATTATATAAAAATGGGAGAGATGGAACACGTAATTTTTTTTAGGGTAATTGTAATATATATTTTTTTTATATATTTGATACATAAACTGAACTAAACAAGTTTTTACGAATAAACCTTCTTTTTAGGCATCAATTCAACCTCCTTAGGTTTCCATCCAATTATAACTAAGTATATTAAACTTTATTTTTAGAGAAACTGTCCCATTGGGGTAAAGTGGGACAAGTGTGAGTAGAAGTGGAATAAGTGTGAGTAGAAGTGGACAAGTGTGAGTAGAAGTGGGACAAGTGTGAGTAGAAGTGGGACAAGCGTGAGTAAAAGTGGGACAAGTGTGAGTAGAAGTTGGACAAATGTGAGTAGAAGTGGGACAAATGTGAGTAGAAGTGGGGCAAGTGGGACAAATAGATTTGAAACAACATTCTAACACAAGTCATTAAATAGAAACTGATAAAATCATAAAATTACCAAATAGACATTAAAATGTTCAAGTGCTTTCACCAATCGAAATAATCAAATGGCGAGGTGAAGGAACGGGGCATAAATATTTCTTTTTTCTGTCCCACCTCACCCCAATGTAAACACTTTTTTAAAAAGTACATTTAAAAATTAGGGCTTCTAGCGCACGCAGGGAAACAAAGCAATTTCTGCTAAATAAAGGGAAGGAAATTTAATTGTTTACATAAAACAACAGTATTTAGGCACAACTCCTAATTAGAAATTTCAGGCTGTCTCACTTTTTCCGTGACCCACTACTCCCCACTCTCCCCTACTATGCTTATCGTATCCATTTAAAACGAAAACGATTTTCTTTAATTTTTATTTTTAATTTTATTATTATTAATACAGTTTTCATCTTTTCTCTTCTAGTAACTTCCAACACTAATTAGTGGTTGCTTCCCTATCGGCACATCTAGTTTTTTTTAGATATAGGCACGTGTTTTTCACAATCCAGGCGTAAACCAAAAGCACGTGTATATTACGGGCAGTTTTACTAGAGTTTAACACGTGATTTTTGAGGTTTTCAAATCAAATTTAAAAGTCGCATATTTTTATCAGTGGTTTCACATTCCTTACGGAAAGTTATTAAAATATAATACTACGTTTCCATAACGGTGAAACCATTAATACTTTAACTGGTATTTATAGTTAATTTCACGGAATAAAAACCATTTAGGATACGTGTTATTCTTTTTGTTTTAGAAGGTTTTAAAAACGCAAGCGTAACTATTTTCTGAGTTGTGCCGGCTGGGTTGCGGCCTTGTTGGAAGCGAAGATGTTTAAAAATAAAAACGATAAAAACAGCGATTTATCCATGAGGATCGCTAGTTTTTTTAAGTTAGCGAAAAGCTATCGATATTTGTAAAGATAAAGACAGACATTTGGCTACGAGGACAGCTAGCTTAATATGCTAAAGACCAACTGGCTATTCTAGTTCGCATCATATCGTAATAAAATCGTTGTCTAAAAAAATTTTATTTATAGCTATCAATCAGCTAAAGGCTTGTAGATATTTTTTAGCTAGCTACAAAGCTACGATATGTAGCTAGCGACACATTGCTACAAAATCGCAATATTTAAAGTTCATAATTATAATAGACTCAACACTGAAAATCGAGTTTTTAAAGATGTTAATGACATTAGGTAAAAATAAAATAGGAAAAAAAAATCGAATTCGATAAACGCATAAGAATACTTTATATAAATGAAAGTAAAATAATATTTAAAACATGTACAAAAAGCTTTCAAAAATGTGAACAATGTTTTATAAACATGTTTACTTAAGTTTTTTGCAATATTATATTTCCGTTTAGATATATAGATGAGGTTTCCCTTGTTTTAAATATCACTTGCCAAATTTTTTACTATTCAATAACTTGTTGCAAAAATATCAGATTGTTATTAGTGAATTATGTCATAAATAATTGAATCATTTGTTTAAATCACGAGTGATGCTTTTATTAAAACCAACCAGTAATGGTTTTGTTGTCAACTCAAAATGATTGAAGATTTCAAAAGACAAAAGTTTATAAAAAAAATAACTGACATATTCGCATTTTTAGCATTGGCAAGTGTATTTTTATTGTAGTAAAGTACAAAGCTTCGGATTATACGGCAACATAATTTGTAACAATAAATAATTCTTTTGAATTTTTATATTTTAGTTGTTGATGCTTGATATTTTCAATTAAATAAATTATTTTCTTTTTTATTTTTAGTTAAGTTTATTTTAAAAATATTTTTAAACGTTGACCAAGTTTGTTTAAAATATAATTAATTTAAAAAAAGAAAAGAAAAAAAAAGTTAAACAAACTAAAGTAATAATATTAATAAACAAAACAATAAACTAATTATAACATCTAATTTCAACAGATAAAAATTAATCATTATGATTAATAATATCGCGGTCTGTTAATAAATATTTAATTTGTTAAACAATCTGTATTTTAAACAGGTTTTACCTTTTTGTTTGTAAGAGATTATACTGCGATTATGATTAGCTTAAGAAGTTGGGCCGTCCATAAATTACGTCACTAATTTTTGACAGTTTTATATATATATATATATATATATATATATATATATATATATATATATATATATATATATATATATATATATATATATATATATATATATATATATATATATCTTTTAAAATGTTAATAAAGATAAGAAATTAAAATGATAATACTTATATAAAAGGATTACCATTTTTAACATTCATAAAATTTTGTTTCCTTTAAAAACCATAATTATTAATAACCATAATTATTAACCATAACATTGGGGTCCCGCTAAATTTTCAAAGGTCACTTGGGACCTCTGAAAATATTAAATTTTTAGTTTGATTTTGATTTGCCAGAACTTGTTGCTTATAATAGCGTAGCCCAGTTGTTAGAATTTCGGGTCAGAACCAAGAGTTCCAGTGCTCGATGTTGGTTTTGGTTCAGATAAACTATATTGGTAAGGAGGGAGGCGTAAATAGATAAATGCTCTATGTTAGTGCTCTGTGATAAGACTGTTAGGACTAGGAGCATCTTAACTCCCCCCTCCCCCTCCCCCCCCAATAAAAAAAAAAAAAAGTTTCGTCTAAATCTAAACCAGTTTAAAAGGTTTTTGCTAATAGTATTCATACTTATTTAATATTGCAAGTATTCATACTTATTTAATATAAAATATAGATTTATTATTTTTAATTAAACATATTTTAATCCAACTAATTCAAACTATCAACTATCCATGTTTTTGATTTATCATGTAATTGATGTATGTTTTTTGTTATTTTCAAGCCAATATTGTTAATATTGGCTGGAAAATTAATATTTTTATAATATTAATGTTTTTATAATTTCCAAATTTTTTATTTTTTAGGTCGATTCTGCAACTACATACGGCATTGTAATTTACATATGGATGAAACAAGCCACAGTATTAAGAGACATTACTTCGCTGATTTGTTCGATTGAAATTGTGTGTTTACTACCTATATCTAGTCTGTCCTCAGTTATTTTATTAAAAAGTAGAAGTTTCAAATGTCATCAAAGATTAGACGCAATTGGAGCTTGGCTTCTTATTCAATTCATAAACCTTTTTGGAAACATCGGACTAATAGTAAGCATTGTGTGGCCTAATATAAATATTTTTACTCGTGCCAGTTTTCCTTTAATAGCTTTTATATGGTGGAAGGTTGCTTTTGCTTTTTTTCAAGTTATTTCTGTTATATATTCAGCATGCGTTGTTTTAAAACCGTATACTGTCAAAGCCGAGGAGTCTGGTGCGAGTACAATGGGTCTAAACATCTACACATATTATACCGATGGAAATAGTAACTCTACACACACAAACACTCAAGCTAACACAACAGTTTTAAGAACAAGTCACCATTCAATAAATGGTTCTAACATGGGAACATTTAACCAAGGCTATTTACAAGATTATATTATTGAAAGCTGATAAACAATTTTACCAACATTTTATAAATAACCGAGAACCTTAAGTAGCAAAAAAATAACGGTAGTTATTTTTTCTTTTTTCTACACTTTTAAGATTGTTTCTACACACGCTGAACTTACAAAGCTCATTAAATTATTTCACAGTTTTAAAAAAACGACTCACTTTTGTTAGTGAATATAAAAGGTATGTGTCCGTTGGAATGTAAAAGCATGTTTATAGTTAATTTATATCTTCAGCTTTTGACTGCGTACACTGACATTTTTGTGGCAACAATATCTTAAGAAATTTAATAATTTCTGAGCAAAATTTTATTCCTATTTTGTAAGATCAAAGTTAGGGTTAAAAAAGGACTAGCTTTATTGTGAATAGAAAATGTGTACATAAAAACATGTTTAAACATGAATTTGAAATCAATAGAATGTAAAACCAACTAAGGTTGAAAATTTCCTGGAAACTTTCAACTCGGGAAAATTTCTCGAAATTTTCCGGAAATTTTGGAAATTTAAAAAAAAAAATAAGTTATTTTATAGCTAATTTTATGTCTTATTCAAGCAATTGTTATGGACAACTTTATGGTAAAATATTATGATGTAGATTATCAAATTTCTAAAAGCTTTCATTGAAAAACACTTTTTTTGGTATTTTGTTGAGTTTTTTTATTATAACTTTAAGAAGCAACTATGATAATTTGTTTTCAAAATTTTCTAAAACTTTTTTATTCTGTTATTTGCTAAGCATATTGATGTTCATTGCCGTTGCAAGTTTTGTATAAGGCTTAACATAATTTGCATCCCATCCCTAAAGGAGACGGGGCATTTTTCAATATCTATTATATCGGCCTACAAGTTACTGAAATCTGTAAAGTTATATATAAAAAGATTTGATTAAATATTTACCGTATTTTGCAATATTTTCTTGATTTAAAGACGTTATTGATTAATGAAAGACAAAAAGTAAAAAAAAAAATTATTACTAAATTTGAACTATTTTAAAATATAGTTTGCAATAAAAAAAGGAAGTAATGATTTTGAGGTCATAAATTCCACTGCTATGTTTAAATAAGTGTTTTTAAGACTTGAGTCTCACTCGCCACAACCATACTAGGGCACTTTTGACTTTATAAATTAATAAATGGGGTGGTGAAATCGTAAAAAGTACCGACTGGTTTGTTAAAAATAATACAAAAAAAGATCCTTAAAAACTAACATTCATCTGACTGAATTGTGTTAAATACTCTATTAGTTTTGTCAAAAAGCGGACTATAACTTGAAAATCAATTACTTTGTGGGGATAGAACACCTGCTTCCCCCATACACCCTCTCCCTAAAATCATCATTGAATGCAATCTTTACACATAAAAAATCTTTTTTCTTAAAAACACTCTACAAAAATAATACAGAATAAAACTTGTTAATCTAAAAAAGATTTTATTCTTTGTAAATTGTGAATATCCTAGTTTGGAAAAGTAAAAGCTAGAAATATGTTATACACAAGCTCAAAAGACAAGTTAACTCGGAAAGCATCTTTGTTGTGTCACAAAAGTAATTTAATTAAAAATAACATATGACAACTTGATCGTTTTATTGTTTTTTAAAATAATGTGCGATTTCTTAAATTGACTATAAAAGTGCGACTAAAAGATGTGCATTTTTGGCTTGTAGGTCTTAATTATTTTATGATTTTTGTTGAAATATTTAAAGAATAACCAAATCCTACGATGATAAAACGCATATTTTTGTACAAAGAATTATATAAAAAAAAAATTATATGAAAATAAATAATAATTATAAGTTTATTGCAATAAAATTTTTTTGAAAATTTCAGGAAATTTTAATAATGATATAATAGTGCTGTACGCTTAAAGAGTGATGAGCCCAAACTACGAAGAGTTTGGGCTCAGTTTACTATTTTTATTTATAATTTTCAGTTTACTATTGTGTGATAAATTGACCTCTAGTTTTATATCCATTATCTAGCATTTCGAGTTTTGTGTAAAAATCTATGATATCGTATCCTTTCTAATATTTGAACATTTGTATCACCCCTTTTGTTTTTTAACTTTTTTAATCTCTCTTCATAACTGTATCCTTTCAAACTTTTAATTCTAGAAGCTCTTTGTTGGACACAATTTAGCTTATCTTTATCATACTGACGATACGGACTCCAGATGGGAGCTGCGTATTCCAAATCTGGACGTACTAACACTTACATGGTGTTTCTATTCCAAATTATCTGAAATGTACACTCCTAAATCCTTTTCCATGCTTGTGTAGGCTAATGCTGTATTATTTATTAAAACTTTGTGTCGGTTATTTCCTATTATCATAACCTTACATTTTTGCTGGTTGAATTTCATCAACCACTCATTCGACCATTCCATTAATAAGTCTATATCTTGTTGAAGTTCAATAATATCATTATCGTTTTTTATTGCTCTAAGGATTTTCATATCGTCAGCAAATAGTTTACATCTTGATTTTACTTTGATGGAGATATTAATATACGCTACAAATATTAGTGGTCCTAGCACTGATCCTTGTGATACTCCACTCACAACCTCTTCTCATTCGGATTTATTCTTTCCTATCACCACTCTTTGAAGTCTGTTCTTTAAAAATTCCAGGCACCAGTCGAATAGTTTTGATTTAAAACCAAGAGCATTCAATTTTAGCAATAACCTTTCGTGATCAACTGAATAAAATGCTTTGGCTAATTTTGAGCAAAATTTTGATAACAATAAGAATAAATTTTAAGAATAAATTTTAAGAATAAATTTTAAAAATAAATTTTAAGAATAAATTTTAAAAATAAATTTTAAGAATAAATTTTAAGAATAAATTTTAAGAATAAATTTTAAGAATAAATTTTAAGAATAAATTTTAAGAATAAATTTTAAGAATAAATTTTAAGAATAAATTTTAAGAATAAATTTTAAGAATAAATTTCTCGGAAAATTTCCGGAAATTTTACGAAATATTTAACCCTAAAACTAACAAAAAAAACAAAACAATGTTTACATCAAAGAATACTTGCAAGCTAGACTTTTGCAATTTTATCGAAATCACAATGTCCCCTGCTAGCTCTGGTCTAATTTTGCTTCTTGTCATTATTATAAGAAAATTGGTAAAATTCGAGAGATATCAAACTCATACCAAAAAGCTTGAATTCATTAATCTGCATACAGTTCCGTCCCATTGAGAAATTTTGGAGATTCTGCAAAGGATATTTGCGTAAGAGTGGCAAAACAATAAATACAGCTAAAGATTTGATTAGAGAGTGAACATTAGAAGGGAAAAAATTTGTAAAAGACACTGAGCAGAAGTTGATGTCGTCAATCAGCGTAAATGTTCGCCATTCGAAATAATGAAAAATATTAAAATAAAAAGCACTTTTATAATCTGCAAGTTCCTTAGATTAAAATAAATATTGAAGTTTTTGCATAATTTGAACTATTTCTTTTTTTTTTTTTTGAATTTTTTATCGTTTTGAATTTAACGATAGCATGTTTTACCCAGTGGGCACGGGATATACAAAAGAGGTCTTTTAAACGTCTTATGAAAGTTTTGGATGCCTTTTGAACGTTTTGGACGTCTTTGGGACGTTTAAAAGACGTCTTTTTTAGGTATGTGCTCCTTGGGTAAAATTAGAAATAAAATTCGGACTAAAAACTCTATTTTTTTTTTTTTTTTTTTTAATTTTCACAATTACATATTAATTATAATTTTTTTTACACTGCAATAGCATAAACAAAATATACTTCCAAAACAAAAAAATATATATTTTACAAAATACCGTTAAGAAAAACATAGGAATAATTAAATATGCAGTGGAGGCGCGGACTGGGGTTTCAAATCCTACCGGGAAGGGAAGAAGGAGAGGCGCTACAAGGTCGGGATAGGGGTAGAAAATAGGCTAGTGTTTATATAAAGGTCTTTTTAATTTGAATATGAATAAGTAAAATAATGTTACACTTTCAAAGTTAAAAGTTCATTCAGGCTTACAATATAATTGAGTATTTTACTTATGTATGAAATATACATCATAATTATGAACACAATGATAATAACAACAATAATAATAATAACAACAATAATAATAACACAATGAATTTATTATGATAAATGAATAATAAACCTCTTTTTAAATAACTTAAGATTAAAAAAAAAACAAAATGGATCTTATGGTTTATCTGGTATTTATACTGTAATTGACTGCAATCTCCTAATGTAATTTATAGAAACAATATCTTTGATAACTCTACGGAATCCTTACACAAATAGCCAATTACGTCCTTAACTGCAATTGAATCCAAAATGTCCTTCTTGGTTGACATCAACATCAATGTTTCAAGCTTGTCGTTACATAATGAGTAACGCAGCCTAGCTTTGACAATTTTTAATTTACTAAATGCCCGTTCACAGCTCACTTGTGAGAATAAAAGTAGATATTTGTAAGCCAGAAATAGATTTGAATAAGCAGTTACATTCAACGAATATTTGTATAAAATATTGTAGCAACATTTTAAACATTTTTTACACAATGCTCAAAGTTCTGAAAATCTCTATTTTCAGTTGCTTTTGTTGAAGTATCCAACTCTGAGACTGAATTCAATTCTTCTGAATCTTTGTCACTAGGACTCACTGTAAATTCATCTCGTAGTGTTTTTGAGAGCCTATCAAAGTTTATAGCAAAGCTATGCAATTTAGATCTCAATCTTTCAGAACAAAGATTAGTTAGTTGAGAAATTTTGGCAAGACTTTTTTCTGGAATACTGTTTTCAACAATTTCTTTAAAACGTTTGGGATCTAAACACGCAGTGTCTCTAATGATGTCCCTGTTAACTGAGAAACGTTCATCTATGCTAGTGGTAATCTGATCAATTACTCTACGGAAAACATCCATTCTGAAACGATCAAGAGGATTCTCTGGTATGTCATCAAAGGCGAGTTCCCCTGCCATACGTTTCTTTCGATGAACTCATTCTACACGCAATTCGATTTAAACTTCTGATTCAAGTTCACTAGCATCTAGGGTGTTGATTTCTTTAACAAATGCAATTGTCTTGGAATGAACATCTTTGAACGATATTCTCTGCAGTTCTTGTTTTGCTGACTCTACCATATTCCAAGCACTTAAATATTATAAATCAAATTTGTTGTTTTGGTACAAAAGATCTACATAAAGTAATTGTTTTTGAATACCTTAATTATATTAGGCACTTCAACATTTTTTAAAAAAATGTAAAATG